AGATGTGGGCACAGGTGAGCGGCATGTCCTGGATTATCAGTAACCCTCACGGGGACAAGAAGGATGCAGCAGAGGATTTTGCCCTACGCAATAAGTTTCACCTCGGGCTGAAAGACATTTCAAGATGTCTTCGCAGTTCGACTCAATGCAAAAGATTCTGAATGACAGTTACAGAATTCAAGCTTCCAAACGCCTTAAACTAGAAGTACTATCATTCTCTGCTGCATGTCATACAGAGGCCGTTCTTCATCTCTCACCTTAACGACGGCTTAAATATACCCTGAGCAGAAAGCTAGTTTGCTTACATAAATCATCCAATCATGCACTGAGTTGACCTTGGAACACTCTAGCTCAGAAGCTCCTGGAATTAAAATGGAATGGTCCAATGGCTGGGAGCTTAAGCCTTAAAGTTTCAGACAAGGTGAGTTCCCTCAAGCTTTCATGGATGAATGACTTGAAGGCCATGTAGAAAATGTCTGAATTAATTACAAAGAAACCTCCTTATGATCAAACTTTTCACTCTAAAATATTCCCAAGTGACCGCCTAAAATTTTACAACACCTATTCTACAAAAGACACTGTGCAGGCAGTCGACGTCTCCCTTCTCATCCGTGTGGTTGTTGCTGTCAGGTGCCATCGAGTCGGTTCCGACTCACACTGACCCTACGTACAACAGAACGAAACACTGCCCAGTCCTGCACCAGCCTCACCATCGTGGCTATGTTTGAGCCCACTGTTGTAGCCACTGTGTCAATCCATACTCCCTAAATGTACGTCAAGGTAGGTATTTTCAAACCTGTTTTACAGATGAAGTAACTGAGGCCCAGGATGTAGTGGTGCTTCCCACTACACAAAACTACCATTCTGGTCTCTTGTCTCATAAAACAACTCTCTTCTTGCAAATTCAGAAAGTTAGAGGGTGAATATGAGTGATGTCAAAACCTTTCTGCACCAGAATCAGTTGCTGTGGATGGGTAAGAGCTAGAGAAGAAAACATGAGCCTTCAGAGAACTGATCCCCCACTTGTACCCCTACTCTGTGCCAGGCACTGGGGCAAACAGCAGGGATGCATCCTGCCCTCATGCAGCACATGTTCAAATGCAGAGACCTACAAGGACACAAGTAAAACGCTGTGATAAAGATCAGAAAGGAGTGGGCCCAGGGGCCATGAGTGTCCTTAGCCCTGATAATAAGGCATCTACAATACATGGACCATTTGGTACAAACCTACCTATGAGATGCCAGCTGTTCCAGCTGTTCTCCGCAAGACAAGCCCAGCGGTTGTGTGTACTGTGCTCCTCGAAGGAGAATTTCAGGAATGCGTGATGGTGAGGGATGTGGTCTGGACTTCTCACAGACAGGAGGGGACAGGTGTCTCCTGCAAAGCCAATCCCGAGGAGGATGTGATGATGGAGAGGAGGAGCCTGGTCTTCCTGGGGACCTTTGTTTCTGAGTGGACATTTTCCTTCTTGTTTCCACAGTGGAAATTTCCCCCAGATATAAGAAAATCCCACATGGCTTTTGACTTCACAAGCTTCATTTTTGTCACTCTTGTGCTTAAATATATTCTCCATCTGCCTTTCCAGTTCACCAAATGTTTCTGGCGATCTCTCTTTCACCTTAAGCTCTTTGCTCTTTCTATTTCCATGCAGAGGGACCCCCCCCCCCATCACCCACCCTTCACCTGGCCAACTCTTATTCATCCTTTGGGTCTCAACTTTGACATAACTTCTTCCATGAGGCCCTTCTTAACTACTCCCTACCCCACATCTCCAGTGTGGAGTGTCCCTCCTCTGAGTACTCACAGGAGCCCTACCATTACTGTGGTGCCTACCTATTTAATTTTCTATTTGATTAATGTAGCCCATGCTAAACTACGAGCTACTACATCTCACCAATACATCTTTGGCACATAGCAGGCCTTCAATACGTATTTATTGAATGAATTGATAGGCTGATGGATGAGTGCACTTGGTTGTTGAAAGCAAACACTCTCACCTTTCAAGTCTCAGTTTCATGTTTACCTTCTCAGCCTTCCCCAGGCAATGAAGACTGGACTCCCAGGACCACCTTCCTCCTTGCCCATGTCCAGGCCAATTCTTCAGAGCCCTAATTCTGTCCTGTTGCAATAACACATCTGGGACTTCCTTGAGTTATCTGAGCGCAGGGGCTCTGTATTTTATCTCTGTGTTTCCATCTGGCACAAATTGCAGTTGCTCAGTAAGTGTCTATGGATTGTGGAAACAAACAAACTCTCTCCACCTTCTCCCCAAGTTCATAACGCACCAGCTGCGTTCAACCAGCAATGGAGGTATTTCTCTCCAAGCTTACCTCAGGTTCATACCTGCGTCTCTGGATTTAACTGGTTCATGAACAACAAATTCCAATTAATCGCAATATTAGCAATCTTTATTTCTAACTATTTTGGGGAACCTCAACCAAAAAAATAAATAAATAAAATAAAATTACGCTGAGAATGAAGACATATTAGACCATTATCTTGGCAGGCATTTTGTTTATAATTTTTATATTCAATAATAGAATGTCCCTGTTTTACATTATAGATATATATATATATTTATGTATATATATATTAGATATCTATACTTCGATAGAAAGAGACATAAAAAAGCCTTTTCAAATGAGGCATGACACACAACATTTGACTCTCTTATTTACAATACAGTGATGTACTTCCTACACAATTGTAATAGATGCTCGGTAGCCAGAGAGGGTTTACAAAGACAGCAGAGCACCTCTAACAAAAAGAGGTGCACTATGCGGCTGGACGTTTATTGCCATGAGTTCTCACTACGTCCAGACAGCATGTTGGAGTTAAAAACGGCATCTGGTTATTTGAAAAGACAATGATCACTGGGTTCATCTTGGCTCCATAACCACCGGTTATGTGGTCTTTCAAATGACCAGGGGATGATGCACAGTGGCTGATGGGAATTGGAAACAGAAAATGGAATGAGGCTCATCCGAGGGGAAGGGCTCATGTTTTGGCCAAAAGGAGAAGTTGCTACAAACTCATGGTCCTGGCACTGAGAGTGGGTACTTGTCAAGGCCAAGAAACAAAACATCATGGGCTTCACCTACAGAGAAACAAACCCCTCCCAGGTATGAGTAACCAGAGTCTACAACCAGCACTAACTCAGGAACTCCAAAGAATACCCAAGCAGGAAAGTGGCTAGAGGACTCATTAACTCATATATGTTAAGACTAGACTATAATGCAAGTTCTGAGAGAACTTAACAGAGAAACTGTAAATTGTTGTGTGGCAGCCTGCCTTTGCAGAACGTTCAAATTTTTCCTCTTTTTTTCAAAGATAACCAAAAGTCTATGCTCCTGTAGAGTTGCCTCTCTGGGCTTACTTTTGGATATTAGACCATTAATATACAATATTGCATATTCAATCTACAATATGAATGGTGTGCATTCATGTTTCAAAGTCACACTGCAAACATGAGAGAATCTAAAATTCTAACATGAACCTAGATTCTTTTGGCTTTGTTACCGTGGTATTACTGACCTAGAGTCACAGTCCAAGTGCTGGGAACTAGAATCTGATTCCACATGAGTCTCAGAACTTCAGAAGGAACTTTTTGCAGAAGCAGGAGCTTCCACTTCTAAAAGAAGGCTCTCCTGTGTTAGTCATCCCTACTGTTCTGGCCCATGCATTCCTTCAGTGCAACAAAATCATCCTCTAGGCTTCCTTTAGCCCACAGAATGTACTCAGTCTTTGGGGTCAGATTAAATATGGTGGTGATTTTCAAAACTTCCCCTTACATCACTTACCAATAATGGTTTAGGTTGAGTCCTTGGCCTGGCTGTTGTTCTCTTTGCTGATCTCACTTTTGTCCCTGCTGTTTATTGGTTTTTATCTATGATGATCTTTCTTAGCCCTTATTTTCCTAAGGCAAGAAGACAATTCAACTGAAAGATAACCAGCACCCTACTTGGAGCGCCCCTGAGGTTTTAATCCAGCAGTCCTCCTTAGATGTCTTTCTCCTTCCACAGGGAGGAGAAGCAGCTGGCCATGTTCATGGTTTTTTGGGTTTTTTTCTTTTTTTTTGCAATTGCATCAAATGCTAACATAGCATTTCTTTGGAAGAATATCAGCAGGAGCTTCACACGTGTGTACATTAACCTCAGTGCCGTCTCTGTTAAACTTAGTTTAAGTCAGTTTTCTCTACTTTAGACAGAGATTCAAGGGATCACAAAAATAATCTGTGGACCAGGACTCTGCACAGAAAATCTCTAGGGAATTAGGTGGAGCAGCTAGTTCAACTTGGTTCCTATAGTTATTTTTGTTTGTAACAAACTTGGATCTACCGATAGCATTGCCTTCATTTCTCCTTGCCTTAAGTCACACCCTCCACTGCTCTTATGAAATGCAATTGGGATTTATAAAGCATTCCTTTTTTCCCTTGTTGAGAAAACATAAAGAGAGATGAGAGTATGGGCATCGTACTGTCTTGGACAAATGGCACATCTGAATCTATTAAGGATTCTATTTACACAAATATGTTCCACTTCCGCACAAACAGAGGTTAACCTGAGTTCTGAAATGCTGTGTGCACTTAATTTAATCAAAAATGGTAGTAAAGCTATGAGCTAGTAACGTACTGGACACATCTAGTTAAACTGGAGCCATCTCTGTGAGCCAGTGGTGGCTAAAAAGGAGCTCACCAACTCCAAGTATTCTGTTCCTTTATTTTCTCATAGTTTTCCTAGAAAGTATCTTGAATGAGACTCCAGGTGGCTAGACAAGTTAGAGCAAGGTCTGTGGTCTTCTATGCTATTTGCTCAGCTTTCCCAAATGTCCAAAATGAAAGCACCTCTACTGGCGAGACCCACCCCACCCCACGTAACACGTTCTGCTCTACACTCTACCCTGACATGGCAGAGGTCAATAAAAGCATGTCTCAGTTAAAGCTCTCAGTGGATTTTAAACATTTCCGGTGAGTTACCCAAAGTCTGGTCCCTCAAAGCCACTACTTAAAGTAGTTGAGTCCAGCCACCAAGAAGAACTTCTCTAGGAAGAGTTCTGAGTCCAGCACAGCGATGTGGGCAGCTCGGCCGATCAGGGCGTTGGCAGTGTTTGGCAGGGCATGGAACACGTTGTGGCGAATTAAAGTGCAGTCCTTGGCTTCCGTCAGAGGGCGGAGAAGGTTGTTGATCATTTCTGCATAAACTGGCCCTGCAAAGATGAAGAGGGATATGAAGACGTCTCAGAAGTTAGCAGCGGAATGGAGAGAAAAACAATGGGTATGGGGCAGGTGGCTGTTCCTGGGCAGAACCTTATATACCAGTTTCCAAACACCTCCTAATGTCTGCAAACAAATAAGAAATAAAATCAAACTTCTCTTCGTGTAGTGAGATTACAAAATGGCAGACTCTCTCTCTCTCTCTCTCTCTGTGTGTGTGTGTGTGTGTGTGTGTGTGTGTGTGTGTGTTTCTGTCTGTCTGTGGTGGGGCAGAGCTAGGGGGTACTATGTGGATTCACTCCACAACTCTGTACTCCCTCATGTCTTTACTTGTATTCCAAGCAATGCTAGAGCAAAGCCTCCCAGTACACTGGACTTAAAAACAAAGGCCTGGTGAACATCTGATTTCTATACTCAAAAGCCCAAATTCAAGTGTGATACCAAAAATGTGAAAGGAGAAACAATTGAGCAGAACTGCTGTTTGTTTTTGTGACTCCATCTTGAATGCCAAATCAGACTCCTCCAGATGATGGAGAGGGAAGAAGCCTAACAGAGAAAGGAGCGTGGTTTCCTGCGCCTTTGTGCCTCCACCTTCCTATCCCAGGTGGAGGGAGGGAGGGACACATGGTGAGACCCACTTTAAGTCACGGGTCCTGTAAGGCCCCTCCCTCCTCTGCCCCACCTGCCCTCTGGGACCAGGTATAGCATGCTTGCTGACCTCTCCTGCACTGGGGTGTGGCATGGACAATGCGGGGGCAATGGGACTCCTGCTGAGTGAGCTCCTGGTGCAGTCAAGGTTTTAGATGTTGTTATGCTGTGTGCCACTGAGTCAACTCCACCTCATAGTGACCCTACAGGACAGAGCAGAATTGCCCCATAGGGTTTCCAAGTCTGTAATCTTTACGGGAACATATTGTCAAGTCTTTCCCCCTGCAGAGCAGCTGGGTGGGTTCAAACCACTGACCTTTTGGTTAGCAGCCAAGAGCTTAACTAGTGTGCCACCAGGGATCCATATATATAAATACATACATATACATATAAATATATATACGTATATGTATCTATTTTATATCTATATATATATAGAGAGAGAGACAGACATACAGAGACAGAGAGAAACAAGGAGAGATGGGGGAGACAGAGAAGATAAAGACACAATCCTACCTCTCAGTTCTGGGATTAAATGCAGCTCTAGACTGAGGAGGACATGGAATGTGTGGCTAATTGCCTCCATGAACAACTGCCTCCTTTGCCATGAGACCAGAAGAACTGGACAGTGCTCGGCTACCATTATTGAGCATTTTGATCAAAAATTCTATAGAGCAATCATGGTCAAAAGGGGGAAAATGTGGAAGAGAAGTTCAAATTCTCATCGACTCCAGACTTTCTGGAGCCATGGAGGCTGAATAAACCCTGAAACCATTGCCCTGAGATAATCTTTAAACCTGAAACCTTAAACTACAAATATCCATTGAAGTCTTCTTTAAACCAAACATCAATCTAGCTTAATTAGTAATGAATGTCTGCCATGAACATTGTGCTCTTTTCAAGAAGCATCTATACAAAATCAAGCAGATAACAGCAACTGGAAAGGATAGATAGGAACCTTAGGGGGCGGTGAGTTTATGTCAGTGGAGGAGGACCAACTTGGGTGAGAACGGCTACACAATCAATGTCACTGAATTGTACATGCAGAAATAGTTGAATTGGTGTATGTTCTGCTGTGTATATTCTCAACAACAACAATAAAAAAAAATACGGCCCTATGCTATCTTTTGCCCAGGCATCATATTCATTTTCAGGAATTCACTCTTGCTTGTTTAAGTCAGAAGGTCCCGGCAGAAGGAGTGTGGCTCACCTGCGTGTCTGTCTTTGAGGGCAGTCTTGCACATCTCGATCCTGGCCGAATGAAATGGCACATAGCGGTCTTGGGGAGAAGCAACCAGTACGACATTCTTAAAATACTGCAGCCCTGCAAAAAGAGCCAGGAGAAACTGTCCTCAGGTGGTGTCCGCACACCCTCTGGGGACAGCTGCTGTGCAGACTTGCCCCAGAGAGAGGCTGAGCGAGGGGGGCTCAGGACAGAAGTCATGTCATCTCACGACCTTCGAGTCTGAGATTTAACGTGCACAGTGGAGGGCAGGGGTGTATTTGGGCACCCAGGAGAGGCTGAGGTCGCTGCACCAGGGCTTTTGTGCCATGGAAGCCAAGAAGACACACAGCAAGCCTCCCTGAACAGTGGCAGATAAGGGGAAAAATAAGTGACAAAAAGCCTTTCAGGACTAGGGGTGTTAAGTGCTGAGTTCACCGTCATAGACAGTCACAAAGCTCAGGAACTCGCTCCAGGGACACAACAGCCGTGGCTAAGGAGATGCCCATTCAGGGAGGGGTGGAGAGATTAATAGGGTCAGCATCTGCAGAGCGAGGGAGGGCTGTGGCCCAGGCAGCGGACGGAGCAGGCCCAGAGGCAGGCGTCTCTGCTCCCTGCCTGGACCTGGAGACGGCCCGGCCATGATCACTGCTGCCCCAAGGTCATCCTGTGACTTTGGTCAAGCCTCTGACTCACGACAGAGTGAGGGTGAAGACTGAAGATGTGGCATCGGGGCTGGGCCAGCCCAGGCTGTCTGAGAATGACCCTGTGGCTACCGCACTGTCCCCTGTCGTGGCTGCCCTGCTTGTCAGCGGAATGGCAGTCAGTGGCTGACCTGTTGATTGGCTCACAGGCCTTGGGACTACGTGATCAGAACATGAGAACCCTGGAAGGAAGCATCAGCTGCAGCTTCTGTGTGGCGAGATGCCCCCCTACGCCCACCCTGGCTCTCAGCCCCTGTGGAGAGCGGTCAAGAGAAGCGAAGCAATGGGTGGCTGCCAGACCCCTTGAGGAGACGAAGATGCCGTGTACATCATGTCTCTGGGCTGCACCCTTCTCTAAAGTGAGGTCAGTGTGGCAGTGATGCCCATTTGTGTCTTGGGGGTAGGGTTTCCAGCTGAAACTCGTGAACATTCCTGGGCCACTGCAGAGCACGCCACTCACCTGTTTTTTGGCTTAGCTGGTAGAGGAAACATTTGCGCAAATCAGCATGATCCCTGAAGGTCAGCTGCAAAAGGGACCCGGATTTCTTCAATTTCTGCATGAGCCACAAGCCTGGGGGGAAATTGGAGCAGAGTCTTTAGGGGAAGATCGTCATTAAGCTGTGAGTTTAGTTAAAATAAAGACAGCAGTAGACATTTTTAGCAAGTGCTGGGGAAGCTAGAGGGGAATTTACATTCGCATGTATTGGTGGCAGGTACAAAAAACCACCTGGGAAACGATATGGCAACAGGCGTCATGAAACCATCCAGACCCTCCCATCCAGTCAGTGCCCTTTCGGAAATCTAGACTAACGGTGTTGCTGTCGTTGTTGTAAGTGCCTCTGAGTGGATTCCAACTCATAGCAATCCCACGTGACAGAGTACAGCTGCGCATAAGGTACTCTAGGCTGTCATCTTTATGGGAGCAGATCGCCAGGCCTTTCTTCCATAAAGCCACTGGATGAGTTTGAACCTCCCATCTTTTGATTAACAGCTGAGCACTTAACCGTTGCACCACCAGGACTCCTAAGCCTAAGGATACAATCCTAAAAACAAAAAGGTATACAAGGGTGTTCCTTATACATCCGTTTAGGATGCTGAGAAACCAGAGTCAACATTTCCTTTCAGCACCCAGGCACTCAGCCACAGTTCAGGGGGCACTAAGGAGTCACATCCTGAGAGAAGCCGGCATCATCCGGCTCCTGCTGAGAGTCTCCCGACCACCCCCCGCCCCCAGGGCATCCTGCACTGCAGTCACAAAGAGCTGCCTACAGCTCACTGATGACACCATGCTCCCGTGTCAGTACATGCACTGTTCCTTCTACACAGAAAACTCTTCCCACTATTTGGTATCTTGGAAATTCTGTTCATCATCCTCATCTTCCAAGGTATGTTGAGCCTTGCTTCCTTATCCTTCATAATGTCCCTCCCTTAAAACATAAATAAAATCATAAGAGGCTCAAAGCTGCGGGCTACAGCATCACATCCCCGCAAGCAGCTAAGTTTGACTTTCCAGACATACTAGTTAATTTCCCCTTCTCGTGTTTAATTCTTAACAGTCCTGTTTTAGATATACAGATAGATAGACAGGCAGACAGACATACAGACACACAGACAGACAGGTAGACAGTAGACAGACAGGCAAATAGGTAAGTAGATGGGTAGATAAACGTTGTTATTGTTGTTAGTCGGTCTCCAGCTCGTGGTGACTTCATGTTACACAGAAGGAAGTGCTGCCCGGTCTTACACCATCTTCATGATCATTGGAGTGTTTGAGCCCGTAGTTGTAGCTAATGTGTCCATCCACCTCACGGAGGGTTTTCCTCATCTTCGCTGACCCTCTACTTTACCAAACACGATATCTTTGTCTAACGACTGGTCTTCCCTAATGACGTGTGTGAGACAGAGCCCTAAAGGGCTGTATTAAAAATCCTGTTTCCTTTGCTGGGCTTTCTCCTCCCCCACAGCTTTGCACTCGATTCCTGCTTTTGCTTGGAGGCTATAAGTAACCCCCACTGTGCCTGCGTAGTATGATTAAGAATGTTGCTGATGTACCTTGTATCAACTCCCTACTGGTAAACCCCTTAAAAGTAACTTGCCTGCCCACCCTTGGGGAGCAGTCCTGGCAGCGGCAGCTCCAGCTGACTCCCTTTCCTTGTACAATGAAACAAAAGTGCCTTTCCTGTTCTCCCACCTTGGTCTCTCATTTACTGGCCAATACGAGTATGCTGAGCACAAACCTGGGGTTTCCACCTGGTAATATGTCCAAGACAAACAAGCTGAAGTCTTGCCATCCTCACTTCTAAGGAGCACTCTGGTTATATTCCTTCTATAGATATATAGGCACACACACTCACTATCTCCACTTCACACATAAGGCAACTGGAGATTACAGAGAGTAAACAGTGTGGCCGGCCTTCCCTAGGCGGCTGGGTGAGAGCTCGCCCCCACCACACCCCCAGGCAAACCAAACTCCAAAGCCCAGGCTCTTTCCCTCGATACCATTTGGCCCCTTTAGTCCTTTCTGGGCAGAACCCCGGAGACATCACCTTTTTGTTCACAGACAGTTGAAGGTAGAGGAGCTCTTGGAAAACATCTAGTAGCCCCTAATGAACAAGCCATCTTCTAAGCCCCCAGGCCTCCATGCCTTGAAGAGGCTCCAGGGTCCCCAGACTCCATCAAAATCTCTCTGCCTCTGGTTTCATCTCCCCTCTGCCCTGAATTCATTTTGAGGATGATGAGGCTGAGGAAAGTCTTACCTGTGCTAACCAGGGTACTGTTGTTGTACAGGGTCCCCAGGTGAGGCCCAGACAGTGACAGGAACGTGTGCAGTTTGTTGAGGTAATACCGAAACCGGGGCCGAGTGAGAACAGACCGGATGATGATGTTCCCAAGAGAATGGCCGATGAAGCTGTTCAGAGACAGAAATGGCACAAGTGAGCTGGACAGCAGCAGGCTGGCTGCCGGAGAGCTCCATGCTGGCATCACGAGAGGTCAGCAGCCCTCCGCCGCCCA